TAATTTTCCTTTCTTGTCAGGTTTTTGTGTTGAGGTTATACTGGCCTCATATGATGTGCTGAGAAGGGTCCTTTGCTCTGTGTAAGAAATTGAAGCCATTCATTGGGAACTGAAAGTTTTTGTGTGTGCAGGAAGGCTTTTAATTACAGAGTCAGTTTATTTAATAGTTAGCAGACTGTTCAGTTGTACTTTTTCTCAGACATGTCCTTTCATCTAATGTTCCAATTTTCGGCATTAAGTTGTTCATAGGAATATTCTCTTCTTAGTGCCTGTGGCCTCAATGTTGTCAACGCTTTTTCTTCTTCTTCTTTTCCTGTTAGAGAATTTTTATGAGTTTATCTGAGCCAAACTGATGGCATGCCAGGGAGTAAGATCTCGAATGCTCCCCTCTTTTCATTTTTTAATGATGAGTCTTTGTGCCTTTTTTATTGTCTCAACATAAGTTAGTCATCTTTATTATTTTTGTAAAAGAATTAACTCTAGCCCTGGCTGGCGTGGCTCAGTGGATTGAGTGCTGGCCTGCGAACCAAAGGGTTGCCAGTTCGATCCCCAGTCAGGGCACATGCCTGGGTTGCAGGCCAGGTCCCTAAGAGGGAGCGTATGAGAGGCAACCACACATTGATGTTTCCTTCCCTTTCTCCTCTCTAAAAATAAACCTTAAAAAAAAAAAAATTTACTCTCTTTTATTCTTTTATTTAGTATATTTATGTTTATTTAATTTCTGTTCTTACTATATGTTTTCTTATTTTCAGTTATCTTTTTAAAATGTGCTATTGTTTTTATAATTTTTAAAAAGATATTTATGTATAGATTGATTGATTCCAGAGAGAGAGGAAGGGAGAGAGAAGGAGAGAGAGAAACATTGATGTGAAAGAAACATTGATTGGTTACCTCCCATACTCTCCCCGACCAGGACCGAACCTGCAACTTAGGCATGTGTCCTGACTGGGAATTGGTCCTGCAACCCTTAGGCTTATAGCACGATGCTCCAACCAACTGAGCCATGCCGGTCAGGGCTATTTTTCTAACTTACTGAAATAGACATATAAATCACTAATTCCCAGGCTTTAAATATATATACAGTCAAGGCTATTTATTTTCCTTTAGATATGACTTTAGCTGCATTCACAAATTTTCAAATTTTTGTTCTTTTTGCAGCAGTGATTTATATTTACTTTTTCCATTTATTTGCTGATTTTAAAATAGTCATGTGCACAGGTAAAATAAGTAGTTTGGGAAAGATGGAGCCATTATCTTCCTTCTAAGCATTGAGTTAATGAGTCAGATTTCTTTATGAGGCTGTTTTGTGTTAAAATTACATATATGCCATCAGTGCTGTAAGGGCAGATAGTTTATTTTATTATATTTTATATAATTTATTTTTAATTATGCATATGCCATTGGTGCTGTAAGAGCAGATATTTTACTGACCTCTCTGATCATACAATTGTACATCATGAGTTCAGTCAAAAAGGAGAGGTTTTTTGTAAGTGTTATGAAGTAATTGACAGTTCTTGAGGACTTGATATGCCTTTAAATTAAGTGTAGGTGCTAGGATAGAAATTATTTTGTGTTAAGAATAATGATCTTCTGAAAAGTAAATTTCCAGGGAAGAGGTCACTGTTAGATGCCCAGCGGCATCTAACATGCCGTGTGGCCTGAGTAGTTCACAGGCGCCCAGCGCATCCCTGCGTTGGGGCAGGACACGTTGTGGGCCCTGGAAGCCCAGTTAGCATTCCCTCAGATGGTAGGTCATGTCAGTGCCAGCAGAGTGTGAGTCCTTGAAGAGCCTTTATATCATCACAGTGCTTTGAACATAATTTAAGGTGTCTTTGTTTTATTTTACCCATGTCTGCGAATTTTGAGACGTTTACCTTTTATGTGGATTTTAATGAGCATACCAAATAGCATAAGATAATATAAATGTGTATGTGAAATATAGTTCTAACATGTAATTGTTTATTTTGCTTTCAGAAGTATCCTTTATTTGATACACTTGTTACTTTAATGCACATTAGCTGTTAACGTAATTACAGGTCATTTTTATATAGATGATTTCTAACATAAGTTTATGCCTTAATAATGTAATTGGAATGCTTTTGTGTATGTATGTTAACAGTTTTGAACCCTTTTTAGAAATAGGAAAATAACTGGAAAACATGCCCCAGGGAAAACAGTCCCTGAAGTAGAAAGTATCCCACTGGTACTTGGTTATGGTGCCCACTGCTGAGGCTGCCCTGGATAGTGGCCTAGGGCGGGACCATATGAGTGGACTTGCTATGGAAGGAAACCGATTAAGCTAGGTGAAATAGTAATTCTTTAAACTTAATATGTAAGCTCTTTTTTGTGCTCAGTGTTTTAAATTTGTTAAAAAATTATTTATTGATTTTAGAGAGAGGAAGGGGGAGAGAGAGAGAGATACAGAGAAAGAGAGACATCGGTTTCTGTTGTTCCCCTTATTTATGCCTTCATTATATGTCTTCTGAGGGGGATTGAACCTGCAGCCTTGGAACGTCGGGACAATGCTCTAACCAACTGAGCACCCCGGCCAGGGCATGTCCAATATTTTAAAGCACCAAGACTAAAATAAATTAGAAATAGAGGCAACTTGAAAATACGACATAACTGCATAAAAATCTTGCAGCAAAATTAATTTGTAAAATTTCATATGGCATAATTTTGATATGCCTTTTCAGCTAAATATTCTAAAGTCTTAGGGTAAAGAGAGTAAATTGTTTACCTGTGCAGAAAACACAAAAATAATATTAAAATACAGCATATTTGTAAGCAACTTGAAGATCTTGAGTTTTTTTTAGGAAGTTATAAGTGAAGACAGAATTGTAGTTACTTTATGATAAATGTTCAGGATCCAGTGATCTTCTCTCAGTTTAAGTGGACTGTATAATGATAAATCATTTTATTTTAATCAGTGCGGTAGTCATCTCAGTTCTGGCAGTTAACTCAGAAATGGCAGAGAGCAGCATTTGACCTTTCAGTTAGGCATCAGGGACAAAAATAAGAGGCCGTTTCTTGTAAAAGAACAATCCAAAAGTTGCAGAGGTGAAGAATATAGGGAGAAAATCACCTTTACTAAATCTTAGACTGAGGATTTAACTAGTTCTAAGGAATGTTTACGAAGTGTGGCTCCAGAATTTTCTACCTGATATTTGTCTAGATTATTAGGAAAATAGTCATCACCAGTTATCATCTGGGTCCCATGTACCTCTTTACATTTTTGCCATTTTAAGTTTTGCAAATAATTTACTGAAGCAAGATTGGGCAGTAACTTAAAACAACTTTATTATTGATTTTGATACAAATCTTTGAGTGTTAAGTAAATTTTGGCACACAGACATAAAAAATGAAAGATTATTGACACATGGCTTTTAGTAAAATGGGATGGTAGAATTTCTTGATGCAGATGTCATGAGATAGAGACCTTCCTGTGAATGACTGTGGGATGAGACCACCAGGTTTTCTCCGTCCTTAGAGATTTTGTCTGCTTCATCCTGATTTTGAGAGAATTGATCACGTGCTGTCCTGTGAAGACTTATGTTCTGAGATTTCACTTTTGCCATCAGCTGCTATCGTTGGTGTCCTTGAGTGCTGCTCTGTCTGCGTTCATCTCTTCGTTTATTTAATGTTTGTGAAAAGTCTTTGCTCTCAGCTTTCTTTTCTTTCTCATTTTGGGATAAAAATGAAAAATTCTTAATGAATTCTCATATTGAAAGCTGGCTACAAGGATAGTGGTTCATTTCACTGTCACCTTGTCCTTCTAGGCAGTTCCCACATCCTTCTGTTTTCTCAGTCTTTTAGTTGTTAGCATAGTTGGGAATAACTGGTGAGTATGATAAAATAATTCTTAGGATGGTGGAATTATCAGATACAGGAAAAGAGTTGCTCAGATCCATCTATGTCTTAGGTACACACAAAGGTCTTATGGACTCATAGTAATTGCAAGACAAAATATGTTTCACTCTATTTTTTCTAAAGATTTTATTTTATTAGAGATAGGATAAGAGAGGGATAGAAACATCAATGTGTGAAAGAAACATCAGTTGGTTGTCTCTTCCACGCCCTTGACCACGGACCTGGCCCTCAACCCAGGCACATGCCCTGGCCAGGAATCGAACCATCAACCTTTCAGTTCTCAGATTGGCACTCAATTTACTGAGCCACACCAGTGAGGGTATTTTTTTTGTTTGTTTGTTTGTTTTGTTTTAAATAAGTGGGTTTTTTTTTTCTTCTTCTTCTTCGGATGACCAGAGAGAGAATATGGTGAAATGTCAGTCCTCTCAAATAGTTGAAACTTGACAACTGCAGTTGGGTCTTGCAGACCCTGGCCTGTTTGTGCTGTTAAGTGATGCTGAGGTTAACGGTCACAAAGGAGTGAGATACTTAAGAGTGGAAGTGCCTTTGATTCCATGTTTCAAACACAGATCCTCTTTGGGCACTACTGAGATTTTTTTGTAGAGTCGTGATCAGCTCAGTTTGCTCTGCAGATTAAAGGCCCAAAATTACTGTCAACTTAGAGGTCGATAAACTGTTGGGGGAAATTTATTTAAAACTTTAAAATTTGAGATAATTTACAGTAACATACTAAAGGTACTCTTTCTATAAATTGTTAAGAAAAAATTTTTGTAAAAAAGAGATCTTGAAAATAAGATATTTGTACTTTAAGAGCTTGGAAATTAAAATTAACTGCGTGGGTCTAAAAGAGTAGAATTTGTTGAGAAACTAAAATTTAGTAATTTAGGTGTCAAGTACACAGTGGAACACTTAAAGAAGCAGAATTCATTTAAAAGAGGGGCAAAAGCAGCATTAAGTGAATGAGTTGCATAAAAAGTGTTTAGAGCTTGAGAATGATTTAGTAGGAGAGTGCAGGTTCTGAACAGGTTGGGTGGAGTTGGTGCTGCTGGTAGATGGAGGGGCTGGGATGGCCTGAGGCTGTGGCCCTGGATGTTGCTATAACTGTTCTTCTCTGGCCCTTCCCTTCTTAGCTGGAGAACCCTGATGGAGCAAGGACAGAGGACTCAGAGTGGCCATGGCAGAAACTGGATGGTGATGTTTCGGAACAGCCTGGGGCCCTCACAAAGGTATTTGTCTTCAAGGTCTCTTGTTAAGGTGTGTCCCTTGTCAGAGGACTTCTCCCTGTTGTAGAAACCCAAGCCAGAGAGAGGACTCAGTCTTTCAAGGGCCCTCAGTGGGGCCCTTCATAGTGGAAACTGGGGGCACAGAGACTTGAGGCAGAGCTGCCTCTGCCTGGGAGGTCTTTCCAGACTTGATGGAGCCCACCTTGGCCTACCTTGTTTCCTTTGGTCTTTTCTCCTGGATGTTGAAGAGAGAAGTTCGCCTTTCATGCATGAGGGATAGCTGTCATATTCTGACTTTTCTACATAGGGTGCCGCTCTCATCTCACACAGTTAGCTGTGTGCAGCCGGCCTCCATTGTGGACCTGTGAGGCAGACTTGCACTCAGAGCACATTGGGAGGGCGGGCTTGTGATCAGCCTCAGTGTTCCAGTTTCTGCCACAACGACTGAGGGGCAGACAGGCTTTTCTTACCCAGTTAACAATACCTGAAACCTCTGTTTCGGGGATTTTAACTTTATACTAAGCAATTCAAATAGGTTGTGTATTCTTTCATAGTTATTTTTATTGAGACATAATACACATAACATAAAATTTACCATTTTTAAGTATATAAATTCAATAGCTTGTGCATTCATCACAACAAATTCCAGAACATTTTCATTACCCCTAAAGGAAACCTGTCCCCATTATTAGTCACTCCCTGCTCGTCCTTCCCCAGCCCCTGGTAACCACCAGTCTACTGTCTGTCTGTGGATTTGTCTGTTCTAGACATTTCCTGAAAATGGACCTGTTAGTGTGTCTGGCTTCTTTCACTGAATATGTTTGTGGTTCATCAGTGTTGTAGCGTGTCCTACGTCACTGCTTTTTGTGACTGGTGATTTCCCATGGTGTGGGTGCACCACGTTTGCTTTTCTGGTCACCCATTGGTGGACACTGAATTGCTTCCACCTCTTGGTGGTTGTGAATAGTGCTGCTGTGAGCACTCACTGGAGAGTTTTCATGAAAATGTATGTTTTCTGTTCCCTCTGGCATATCATTATTAATTTTTGTGTCTGAATTTTCTGGGTCACATCTCTTGCTCTCCTTCCCCAGGATTGTGAACAGGAATGTACACCTGAAATTGCTGAACTGATGAGCCAACATGAAGACAAGACTGGCAGGGAGCAGTGGGCTATGGTGGGGCTGCCGGCAGAGATGCAGCAGGTGCAGCTGCAGACCCAGGTGATCCGGCCGCTGTCACTCACACCAGGACCCAGGGTTTGGGATCTGGGAGGGCGGCAGGTGGGAGAGATTTGGCACAGTGGACAGATATGCGCTGCAGGCTTGCTATGCCTGCTTTCTTGGTTTGTTGTGTTTTCACATCTTATATGGGGCCATTGAAAGTGGAGAGACACACGTGGACATCTGGTGCCAGCAATTTGGGCCAGGTGCCAGGGACACACTCATTGCATGGCCCACCCTTCCCTGTCAGTGGCTGATCACGCTCCTCACACACAGCAGGGCTGTGGTGGCAAAGGGGTGTTTAGCGACAAGAAGCATTGGTCGGGGCCTTCCTGGGAGCATCAACTCTCCTGGGCAGTTACTGTGCCCAGGATCTTGGAGTCAAGGCCACATCTTACCCTGGCTGCTGCTCCCCCAGTACCACCTCAGCACAGCCTCTCTCCTTGCAGCCAGTGCCACCCCTGGAGCTGGAGGCGCTGCGATTGAGTCTGAACAACATGCACACAGCACAGCTGGAGCTGACGCAGGCCAACCTACAGAGGGAGAAGGAGACAGCACTGACGGAGCTGCGGGACATGCTTAATGGCCGGCATGCCCAGGAGCTGGCCCTGCTGCAGAGCCGCCAGCGACTGGAGCTGGAGCTTGTTAGGGAGCAGCACATGCAGGAGCAGGAGGAAGTGGCACTGAGGTGCAGCCAGGAGATAGGTATGTGCGATATGTGTGTACAGGCAGGCATGGCCTTTCAGTGACTGTCTGGGAAGCACAAATCCTATTTCTGGTGTTTGGGGAATCAGGTGGCCCCATTAAAGGCGCCTCCAAGGTGAGGCGTTCGCACACTGATCTCCCCGCCCATGCTGAAGCTGTGTGGCATGTTCCATGTGTGGGCACCTGCCCCCGGCTGTCGCCAGGCCCTTGTTTACTCCTGGCTGGTGGCAGTGCACCCCACTCTGCCCGCTCTGAGTGTCCTTATCCTGCTCCACTGTTCCCTTGCCTCCTTCCAGTTCTCCAAGTAGGCTTGTGTTAACTTTTGAAATGATATTTTTGGAGGTGATTTGGTTACGTGCTGGTGGCATTTGCTTCTGCATCATTGACAGGATTGTGTCTGTGGCCAGTCTTTGTCCATCCAAACCCAGATGCTCCTGGGCACAGACCCCCACATCCCACTTAGTGCCCATTGGAGCCATGGTGCTCCTGGTGGGTGGCCAAGGAGCCTTTTTATCTTCTGGATTCCCTGGCCTAGACTGAGCTTTTTATGTTTAAAATACACTTTTATGTTTTCATTTTAATGTTTTTGTACATTTTTTGTCAGTCACTACTTTATGTAAATATGTTTTTAAAATAATAGCTTTACTGAGCAATAACTCTCATACCACACAATTGACTCAATTAAAGTGTACGTCAGTGGTTTTGAGTGTGTCGGAGTCACGTAGACCTCACAGTCTGCATTTAGAACATTCGTCATGCCGAACGGAAGCCAGTGCCTTCTGGCAGTCATTCCGGTTTCCTGCTGGCATGAGTGCCTGATTATCTGCCCTTTTGCTGAGTTTTTAATTTGGAGAAATAAAGCGGCATGCCGACTTCAGGTGTGTTGAGAAGTCCTCCTCTTTCTGGGTCTCTTAGGTTCTTGTAATGCTGTCTTGCGTGTCTTCCATCTAGATTCAAGCAAACACGAATATATTGTTTTACTTCCACCCATTTTGTTTTTGTGTGTGTGTATGTATATGTATATATTTTTAAAGTTTTTAAAACAATTACTGATTTTAGAAAGAGGTAGGAAGGGAAGGAGAGAGAGGAGGAGTGAGAGAGACAAAGGGACAGAAACACCTGTTCTACTTACACATTCATTGGTTGAATCTTAGACGTGCCCTGACCACGTATTGAACCTGCAACCTTGGTGTATCAGGACGACACTCTAACCAACTGAGCTACCTAGCCAGGGCTGTGTGTTATTTAAAACACAAAACATGCACTACCTTCGGCCCCTCCCAAATTTGTCTTCTCATCTTCTCCATGGCACCCAAGAGTAGGTCTGTGGAGAGGCCCATGCCTGCCCTGTGCTCCGAGAGGCTCTGCTGTGGCCTGGCTCCTGTGGATAGCGCGGGACCGCTACTCAGGGTAGTACCCTTTGCCTTAACTCTGGACTTGCCCAGGCCGCCCTCACTGTGCGCATGTGGCACCACCTCTCTCCAGCTTCTTGGTGCTTTCCTGAGGCTCCTGCCATCTCTACCTGACATTCCGATGTTTCGGTGTGCACCCATATGTCAGTCCTAACTTGGCTGTGCCCAGTGGTCCAGTAACGTGTCCCTCCTCCACCCTTCAGCACCTACTCCTCTTTTCTTGTGCTTCCTCCCTCTCAGAGTTGGGAGTTGTTGGGGCCTAGAACATCTTTATCTGTCTTTCACCGCCCAGCCTGGAATCTGGCCCAGTGTGGAGCAGACAGGCAGAGGTCCCTGGGACCAGAGGGAGAGGCAGGTTCAAGGCTCTCAGTGACTGGGCACTCCAGAGGCAGCCTTGTCCGCTTGTCTCAGACTGTCCTGCTGGGTGGAGATCTTGTAGTCCTTGGTTTGGGCGTGAATGTAACTTGTTAAGTCAGACATCACCATACTCTTGCTCCCTGCTCCCTCACAGATGTGTCTTGTCCTCTTCACCCTGGTGGGTGTCTCTGGAGCAGCCAGCAGGAGCCAGGAGCCCCTAATCTCCTGGGTGATCAGCTTGTGGGAAAGCCTGAGACTCAGTGACCTAAGTGACCTTTTATGTTTTTCTTGCAGCTGAGCTGAAGGAGAAGTTACAATCAGAAATGGAGAGAAATGTCCAGATAATAGAGGTACCTGGGATTAGCAAATGCCATTCTGTGTGCACAGTAGTTTTCCTTTTCTGCTTAGCCTACCAGTTTGCCCCCTCCACTTGGAACCCCCACAGAAAAGCCCCTTACCTTGATCCAAACCAAACCCAGTGAGAGCTTTAGTTGGCTGTGTTGGTAGAAGTGTGCTGCATTTTCTTTCAGAAATAGAATGTTCTATTGTTTATTTTTACAATTTGAATCTGTCAGAACGACTTGTGTAACATGAAGCTTGTCCCAAGTTTGGTTTCCTGAGTGGCTGCTGTGGCCCGGCCTTTGCTGTGCATGGGACACAGACCTCTGATCTCGCACAGGGACATGTGAACTGTGGCGGTGCAGTGAGATGCAGGGAGTGGGGGTGCTGGGGTGCCGCCGGGAGCCCCAGGGAGCAGCTGGGCCTCGTGGACGAAGCTGCCAGGCCAGGGCGTGCGCCTCTGTGTGCGCCACGGTTGGCTCTGTCCGCGTGGCCAGTGGCAGCGGCTTGTCCTGTGCTTGTCCTGCTGCTCCCGCCCCACACCTCCTTTTTGGGGAAAGAGTTAGTTTTAGGGTATAACAGAATTAGCTCTTTCCTGAAGAATTCTGTCACTGCAACCTCTGATTCTCACGGCCTGCCCCTTTCTAAAAGCTACATTTGCCGGGGGAGCGGGGGGGGGGCTGTGGTTTGCACTGGTGACAGCAGAGGAAGCGGATGGTGTCAGGGAAAACATGGGCGATGTGATGAGACGAGTGATGTCAGGGCCTGTGGGCGCTTCGGTTCCGGCTGCTCTGGTCAGACACTGGGTGGGAGACTGCTGTCCTGGGTTCGAGGCTCGGGCCCCAGCCCCTGGCCCTCTGAGCTGGGGAGTGGGGACTTCTTCCTTAAGGCACCGGAGACAGAGCCCAGCCCTCCCCCAGAGGTCAGTGACATCACTGTACATACAGTAGCACCCGCAGGTCTCTGCGGGAACAGATGCATGAATCCCTGAGAGTGACTACATCCCTGTGCTCTGTGTTCAGAAATGAGTTCCGTCTCTGAGCAGGTGGTCCTTGTTTCTTTTCATTTGCTGCTTGCCTTGTGGGTGCTTTTGGTTCTTTCAGTCCCGTCCCTTTCAGCAGTAATGGAGGGACTGGCTGGACGTTTGGAGCTGGTTTCCTGTGGCGACAGTCTGGGCAGTGCGTGACTGCCCAGGTTTTGGATGTGTGATTTAAACTTTTTTTTATGACAGATAATCAACTATTGGTTATACTCTCCTTTTTTCTTATTTAAATTAGAACCTGAAGCAAGACTGGGAGACTGAAAGAGATTTGTGCTTAGAAAACCTGCACAAAGAGTTAACTGCAAAGCATCAGTCAGAGTTGGAGAATTTACAAAGCCAGTTTAAGAAAGAATTGGCAGAACAGAAAGCTGAGCTGGAGAAGATTTTCCAAGCCAAGAATCAGGCAGAATGTGAGTTATCTAAATAAGATAAGCAGGTCTGAAAGGGACCAAATTATCTTGTGGTAGTTCTGGAATAAACACCCTGTATGTGCCAGGTCTGTGGTTGAGTATGAACTGACTGTGTGTTCAAATGTCAGGTAACAGTGTATGTGACCCCCTCCCTCCAGGCGACAGAGGTTTAGGGCCACTGTGGGACAGAGTCAGCTATAGGGGTCTCCCCTCATTGACCACAGGCCTCTCAAGTATCCCAATTCTTCCTGAAACTTCTGTTTCAGAGACAGTTTTGCATGTTCCATTATTAAATTGCTATCAAAATAGTAATATTGGGATTGTACACTTTTTATGCTTGTTGCCGGTTACTTGACACCCACCTGTCAGAGCAGCTCTCTGCTGGTTGGCTGGCGTATACCCCTCCCCGCCTCCTGAGACAAGCAGAGGTGCTGAGAATGGGCCTGAAAGGACCCTGGGTGGCGGGGGGCGGAGGGGCCTCTAGGGGAAGGTGGCACTCTCAGCGCCAACTGTCATTACCACCAAGAAGTGCTCATTAATGGTTGCCAAGGAAGAAGACTGTGCTGTTGTAAACTGAGCACGATCTGTGCTCTTCAGTGTCCCTCCAGACCCTGCGGGCTCAACATGATGCCGCTGTGAAGAAGCTCCGGGAAGAACTGCAGTCCGAGCGCTGCCAGCACGCAGAGGACCTGGACCTGAGAGTCAGAGAGAAGGAGAGAGAAAAACAGCTGGAGGTGGGTGACTGTTTAATTACTTAGAAGATTTTATGTTGAGGTCATTTCCCATTCTGTTCTTTGCTAAATTTAAGTATTAATTTAGGGTGACTGTTAGATTTGCTGGAGCTGGTAGATGAAGTGAGGGTACAGAGTCAGCAAGGTTGGGATAAGTTATGTTCAGTCTTAGATACAGAGAATTTACTTCTTTACAAGTGCCGCTGAGATGTTTATAGACTCCAGGTCTTAGGGGTGGAAGGCCACGTGCTCTGACCATAATTTAATAAAAAAAAGTTCTAAGAAAAGCAGAAACATTCCTACTGCTTATGAGTTCAAAGCTCTTCTCCAGTGAAACGCTACATATCAAAATGGGTGCCATATGGCCAGTTCTACTGAGACCTGAAGTGCTTCTGTCACCAAACCCAAGAATCAAGCAATGCTCCAAGTGTCAGTTCAAGAAATGAAAAAGAAAGTAAATCAGGGATGGAGTCAGTCACAGCCTGTGCATGGTTTCCAGATGAGGGGGAGGAGTCGGGCCCAGGAGGAGCCTGTGTCTGGCTGCTGCAACTCTTGCACCTGCTCCCACTGTCCCTCCTCCAGACCGAGGCCATGACGGCCCAGCCGAGCCAGGGCCGGGCTGACAGACATCACCTCCTTGATGAGAAAGAGATGACGGGGGCACCTTCTGTCTTGTGCCCTGGATGAGAAAAGGCTACAGGGGTCTCAGGGCCAATACTGCCTTCTCTCAGGCTGACTGGCCATGCTGACTTCCAGCCCCTGTGTGGGTAGGTGGGTTGGAGCGGCTCTCTGCTGTCGGTTGTCTCGCGCTCTTGCTCTCGGTGGCTGGCATGCTGCGTGAGCTCAGTGTGCTAGCTCTGTGCCCGCCTGAAAGCAGCCATTTCCCAGGAAGGTTGACCAAGAAATTCAGAGAAAATCCAAACATACCTCTCGGGCTGAGGGAGGGCTGTTCACAGATGAGAAGGAAAGGCCCATGAGACAGAACCTGTTGAAGTTAACAACTGGTCCTCTTGGGAGACTGAGCCGTGTGGTCAGTGCCAACAGGCAGCCTGGGAGAGAGCCAGAGTACCCACCTCACGGCCCCGGTCCACCCCCCAGCCCCCACCCTACCACCGTCAGCCCTCCTCTGACTGCATAGAATACAGACAGGTTCTTGCCCTTGATCAGTGAGAGGTGGTTGTCTCTGCAGGGAGCAAGGCCAAGGGCTTGAGTAGGGTGATCTCTGAGAAATAACAGGCGCCGATAGGACTGCGATTGGAAATCAGCGCCTTTAAACATGATGAGCGGTAGTTTTTCTCTGGTGCTCCTCTTGCTAGTGTTCTGTAGGCTGGGTGTTTGGGATTTGAGCTTTTACTGCAGGTGCTTTCCTGTGCCTGTTGGTTGCAGGGCTCAGTCTTGGTTAGTGTCTCACTGTCGCCTTCCTTTTCTAGTTGGAGAACCTTCAAGCATCTTATGAAGAGCTGAAGGCTCAGTCACAAGAGGAAGTCAGGCGCCTGTGGTCCCAGCTTGAGTCCATGAAAACCGACAGACAGGAGCTGAGTGGTGAGGATTCAGAGCCTCAAAAGCTGAAGCTGTGTGTGGGTGTGTGTTTTTAATCCTCACCCGAGGACATGCTTATTGGTTTTAGAGAGAGAGGAAGTGGGAGAGAGAGAGAGAACATTGGTGTGAGAAAGATATATGATTAGTTGCCTCCCATGTAATACACCCCTACTGGGGACCAAACTGGCAACCTAGGTCTGTGCCCTGATCGGGGATCGAAGCTGCATACAGCCTTTTGGTGAATGGGATGATGTTCCAGCCAACTGACCCAACCCAGCTAAGGCTGTATGCTGAAACTGTGTGTGTGCATGCGTGCGTGCATGCGTGTGTGTGTGTGTGTGTGTGTGTGTTGGTGGTGGTGGTGGTGGTGGTGGTGGTGGTGGTGGTGGTGATGATGATGTTCCAGCGGACTGACTCAACCCAGCTAAGGCTGAAACTCTGTGTGTGTGTGTGTGTGTGTGTGTGTGTGTGTGTGTGAGAGAGAGAGAGAGAGAGAGAGAGAGAGAGAGAGAGAAGCAGGAGGAGATGGGGGGGGCGGGAGAGAGAGAAACATTGATTGGTTGCCTCTTGTAGACTTACCCACCAGGGACTGAACCTGCAACCTTTCTGTGTATGGGATGATGCTCCAACAAACTGAGTCACACTGACTAGGGCAAAGCTGTGTGTTTTTAATTGGAACCCCAAATGAGGACATAACAGTTGTAGCGAGTGCAAAAAGTGATTTGTGAACTCTGAAGATAGGTGCATGTGGTTTGAGGTGGAGTTTGCTTGTAGTTGGGGAACCTTGGTTTTATGCTAAGCAGGCTGATTGGCTAACAGCTGCTGAATTGTGAGTGTCTGCTTGTGTTGATATCAGGCATCCGTTGAGTGTGTGTGCTTCTGCCTAGAAGTTGCAGCTGAGTGCTGTAGAAACTCAGTTCTCAGCTGGCACCTGGGTGGCAGATATGCCTTCCATGTGGTGCCAATGAGTTCACGTGGGGCAGACTCCTCTTGCCTCAGTCTCTGGTTTTGGTGGGTGTTGGTGGGTGACTACTGATCCTCCAGGCCCTGCAACTGTGGCCACCTCTGTTGAAGGCAGCTCACTTGGGTCCCTTTCTAGGACTGCATCAGAGCAGCCTCTGTTCCCTGGTGCCACCTTCAGTTAAAGGTCAGGAGACCATGGGGGTGGGAGGAGTGGAGAGACTCAGACCCATGCTTTTCTGCTGCTAATATCCACACAGAGTCTCTTAAACCTAGTGATTGCCCTTACTGGATGAGTGTTACTGGGAACAAAGACCAGAGTCAGGAGAAAGGACTAGAAACAGCACATCTGCTGCGTGGTGGTGAATAAGGCTGCATCTCTGCTGGCCCTCGCCCTGTCAGCCCATCACTCAGTCTTTCCGTTGGGTCTGTGTGTCACTGATGGAAGCCACAGGTGGCGTTCATGGACTTACCTGTACCTGACTTCATGCATGCTTTCACACGCATATTCCAGCTCTAGCATGCTTGCTGGAAGGCATCATCCTTGGATGTAAGGACCCTCACAGGGAACTCTGCTTTGAAACATTATTTGAAGACTAATTATTATTATCAACCAGCTGGCAGTGTTCTCTTGATCAAAGCACTGATGGTGACATGTTCTCTTTGATCTATGTTACTCTTGCCATTAACAAAGTATTACAGACTTGGTGGCTTGAAAACTACACTTGGTAGCTTACAGGTTTGTTGGTCAGAGGTGTCAGATGGTGTGGCTTGGCTTTCTGCCCAGTGTCACCCACAGCTGCAATTCACTTGCTGGGCTGTCCCTCTATCTGGCTTACTTGGGTGTGGATGAATTCAGTCCCTGTGGTTCTAGGACAGGGCTCATGTCGTTGCTGGCTGTCAGCCGACTGCTCTCAGCTCCCAGAGGTCACATGCATTCCTTTGCTGCCTGGTCCCTCCATCTTCAGAGCCCAGCAGCACATGGGGTGCTTCTCACATGTTTAGTCTCTTTGGCTTCTCCCTCTACCCTGAGAATGCTGAGGTGGTTGGTCATCTCCCTGTGGAGGCCCTCCAGTGTCACGTAGCATAAGCCACAGTCACAGGTTCTGGGATTGGGGCCCTTTAGAATTGGTTTCCAGCACCATGTTCCAGGACCTTCAGTATCTCCTGATTTTTCCTAAGTGTTTCTACTTAAGGTGATTGTGTAATGTCATCCTATTAAAGACTTGCGTGAGCAGCTCCTGGCTCGAGCATCTCACATGGAAGAATTAGAACACCTGCAGCGAGACTTTGAGCAGCAGCAGCAACGGGAGAAAACTGAGCACGAGTCTGAACTGGAACAATTGAGACTTTATTTTGAAAAGAAATTGAGGGATGCTGAAAAAAATTACCAGGAAGACCTGACTCTGTTACAGCAGCGGCTGCAGGAGGTGAGGGAAGATTCTCTTCTGGAGTCTGCGGAAATGAGGTAAATACAGCAATTATTATCCTGAATGTGTATTCGAAATATGGGAACCTTGAGCTGAACTGAAATCTGGTGGGGGTTTTTTTTTTTGAGCTTATCCTCAGAAACCAAAATATAATAAGTATATGTGCAGAATGAGAGTCGATTACAGCTGCACTGACCTTCGTGCGCGCCAGAGGTGTTGCCTCCCCGAGGAAAGGGCACGAGGATTTGTTTCTCTGACAATCTAGTTTTAATATTTCAATAGTTGTACCTTCCTTTGTTCTCCCAGTCCTATACAATTAAGCTATTTTTAAAAAAGTTTTCATTCCTTTATCGAGTTTATTGGGATGCAATTGGTTAATAAAACTGTATAGGTTTCAGGTGTACTTATAATACACCACCTGTACATTGATTGTATGTTTGTTCACCAACCCTGAAATCTAGTTTTGCTTTTGATTTCACGTCAATGGAGATGAATAGCCAGGTATTTTAGAAACACATGTTTTTGTTTGGGACTTTGAAACAAGAGGACCTTAGAGCTGGGAGCTGGGTCTGAGTCTCACGACAAGCTGCTGCTGACGTATGGCTAATGGAGGTGGGTGCAGGCGGTCACGATCGGGGTCCACTGTTACCCCAGGGTCTCGGCCGCTGTGACACCAAGCTGTGGACACTGTCCCAGACATAGTTCAGCAATGGGGGTCATATCCTAGGGTTCAGATGTGAAAATGCCATGTGTAAGGTTTTCATGACGTATTTTTTTTCTTAGTTCATCCAGTGCAGTTTTAGAAGAGACGTCTGAGAAAGAAAGAAGAGACCGCTTTGATCAGCTCAGCTTCCAGCTGGAGCAGGATGAGGTGATAGTCCAGTTTTGTTTTTTTGACATATAATTGACATGTAATATTGTATTAGTCCGCGATGGACAGCATAATGGTTCGATACTTGTTCATACTATGAAATGATTACCACAGTACGTCTAGGTAGCCTCACCACACAGTTAAAAAGTTTTCTTTCTTGTGAAGACAACTTTTAGATCTCCTCTCAACACCTTTACCCACAGGTCACCATGCTGTACCTTATATCCCAGGACTGACTTATAACTGGAATTTTGTACCTTTTGTCTCACTTCATCTGTTTCTCCTACCCACTCCCTCTGGCAGCCACCAATCTGTTCTCTATATCCAAGAGCTCAGATGATTTTTTTTTTTCCCAGATGCCACATATAAGTTGAGATCATGTCTTATTTGTCTTTCTCTATCTGACTGACTTAGCATAATAGCCCCCAGGTCCATCCACACGGTCACAAGTGGCAAGATGTGATTTCTTTTTATGGCTGATTAGTATATATATTCACACACATATCACATTTTCTTTATCCATTCATCTATTGATAGCAGCTTAGGTTGCTTCCATATCTTGGCTATGGCAAAAAAACAACAACACAACAAAAAACAAAAACTGTAATGAACATAGGGGTGCATATATTTTTTCAAATTAGTGTTTTTATTTTCTTGGATAAATACCCAGAAATGGAATTTCTGGGTCATAGGCAGTTTCATTTTCAAGTTTTTGAGGAAACTCCATGCTGTTTTTCATAGTGGCTGGACCAGTCTGCATTCCTACCAGGAGGGCACAAGGGCTCTCTATTCTTCACATCCTCACCAGCACTTGTTGGTTGTTGTTTTAGTAATGATGGCCATTCTGACAGGTGTGAGGTGATATCTTCTTGTGATTTTAACTTGCATTTCTCTGATAATTCAAGAAGTTGAACATCTTCTCATATGTCTCTTGGACATTTGTATGTCCTCTTTGGAGAGGCATCTCTTCAGGTCTTCTGCCTCTTCCTATTCACCCGGTCTCAGCCCAAGTGACTTTTTTTGTTTCCCTGGATGAAAAATGTACTCAAGGGAAATATTTTGCCAATGTGGAAGAGGTGAAACAAAAAACGGCAGAAGCACTAAAAGGCATCAAAATCGACAAGTTCACAAATTGTTTTAAGCAGTGGGGAAAAAAGTCTCCATAGGTATATTGCATCAAATGGAGAGTATTTTGAAGGTGACTGAAGCTGAAATACACAATTTTTTATAAATAAATTTTGGGGTTTTTTGGGTCCCCCTTCATACTGCATTTCGGTGTTTGTATGTTTGTTTATGGTCTGTATGTGTGTTTACAACAAATGTGATTGGATTCAAGGAAATAAATTGGGACTGGCTGGCTAGGAGAATCTGCTCTTGTTTCCTTGGTATTGCCAGGCTGTTGTCCCTCCTGTTTCAGGGCCTAGCTTACTGTGTCTCCGTACATTCCCCATACTTCTGACAATTGCAGAATGTGAAGTTGTGTCTTTTGCTCTGAGTTGTATGTTGAGCATCACTTATCAGCTTCTGTGTTCTTCCTTGAGTTACCTCCATTGTATTTGTTTCTTTTATTTTAACCTAACAGTGTCAGTGAGGCTGACACTGTCCAAACAGGGCTTTCTGCAATGATGGGAATGTGCCAGTCGGGACGGAGAGGCACGCCTGGTTGTGAGCACCTGAGTGAGGCTGTGACTAAGGAGCTGAGGTTTCCTTTTATTGATGGTGACCACTTGAAGTGTCAGTAGCTCCCGGGTCTGGTGGCTGCTGTCCTGGGCAGAAGTGCTCACAGGTGGCGGAGCAGCCATAGTGCAGTGCAGACATGCTCTGCAGTGTGTGAGCACTGGCTTTAGTCTGTGTGTCTGCCGTTCTTGGTTATTTAGGTTGTGTCTCAGTCGGCTCTAATGGCTGTAACAAGAGACATTTATCATGTCATAGTCCTGGAGGCTGGAGGTCTGAGATCAAGGTGTGGGCAGGGCTGGTTTATTAATGAGGTTGAATTTTTTACTTCTTTACTGACTATTCTTTCTTTTTTATGATCTGCCTCTGCTGTTGTGCCCTTTGCCCCTTTTCTCTGGTTTGGATGTCCTCATCCTGCTTGCCCCTGGACGTGATCACTTTCACACAGCTGGTAGGCCCAGGGTTTGGAGTTGCAAGTTCTTCATACCATCCTCAGCTCTTTGTCTCCATTCTCAGCATAACTATTTTAGTTTTCATCCATCTGTAACTTAGCTCTTGTCTGGAGGGAGTTGTAGGCTTTAAGTTCTTTTTCTTTTTCCCAAATTGCGAATCACATTTAGGCCTGAATAGTTGAATTTGTCCTTCCAATTTGGAACGTGGCCCTTTATGTGCTTAGTTGGCACAGGGGCAGGAATCATGAAGTTTAGGTTGATGTGGCTCCTCTGTGATTTTTCTTTTTTTTTTAAATCCTCATCTGAGAACATGCTTATTGATTTTAGAGAGGAGGGAAAGAAACAGCAATAGGTTCTCTCCTGTAACACACTCTGACCAGGGACTAAATTTGCAACCTAGGTATGTACCCGTGACCTTTTGGTTTCTAGGATGATGCTCCAGCCAACTGAGCGACATCAGTCAGGGCTGTATGATTTTTGAGGAAAATGGGCTTACTCATTGCATGATGAGGGGAACAGGACGTGTGAAAGCATTGAGGCTGCCTGCTTGTCTGCCTGCCTGCTTTCTTTTCCTCCATAAGTACACTTGGCCAGGCCCCATTATCAGACCTGCTCACAGCAGCTACCAGGAACCCTGCCCCTGGGATCTCTCAGACAGGCCAAGTATTGGCTCTGGGTGGGAAAGTGCAGGGCAGGGAAAGAGGAGAGGGGAGTGAGGAAGCTCAGGAGTAAAGTGACGCAGAAGCCCGGGAGCCCACAGCAGAGCAGTGCTGTTCAACCGAGGCCTTGGCCCATGAGGCCTGTGAAGGACGGAAGGGAGTGAGTGGAGGAAGCCTGACCCTGGGGGCGGGGAGAGTAAGGGCAAGGGGTCCAGTGGGCAGGGTCTGCGTGGTGTCCCTGTGGCTGGTGCTCCATGTTGGCCCTGGGAGCACAGCGCAGCAAAGCATGAGGACTCACTGACTGGGCCCCCTCTCCTTGGTGCCATAGCCTGCTGCTTCCCTCTATACGTGACAGGCAGCACAAGACGACGATGTGAGCGTGCATCACTCACAGGGCACACCTGGGAGGTAGTGACTAGGCCACGAGGCCGAGGCTCACCGAAACATTTCCTCTTTGTGACTTCCCCCAAGGAGGACCTGTGTTTGCACACACAGTTAGAAGAAAGCCCCCAGCACCAAGTGGCAGCCCAGCAGGAAGCGGACCTTGTGGGTACCCAGGTGTTGGCACAGCATGTGGGGCTCCCGGAAGAGCCCGGCCCAGGTGGGTGTACTTCAGCAGCCCAGGTGTGATTTGTGGGAAGGTCGGGAGCCTCCGCCGTGATTGACTCTGCCTGAGTCACCTGGGCATGCTGTCCCTTTACTGTGCAGTGCTGATGCTGGAGGTTGGCTCGGGTTGCCCCCCCACAGCGGTCCTGGCATTGAGGGGTGGAGCAGGGCCCTGCAGTGTCAGGAGAGGGCCTGACCGTGCAAGAGGGGTAATAGAAGGCTGGGGTGGCCAGGTGATGGCCAGGTGGTGGCAGATGAAGGAGCTGTGGTTATCCAGGGTGGTCCAGATGGGAACAGGTACTGGCCTTGCTGTGGAGGATAGTGGACATAAGGCCAGACACAGTCCAGAAGGGGATGGGACAGCCCTGGGTGTGGGCAACATTGTATTCCATGTGGAAATGAGGAGGCAAGGCAGGTGATCCCACACAGGGCACGGCAGGCGTCAGGTTCCATGCTGGGTGCTCTGGCACAAGTGTTTGTCTTGGCCCAGGCTTCCTCAGGGCTAGAGGGGGCACAACCCTGAGAGCTGAGGTCACACTGCACTTACTGTTTGTGCCTCACAGTTCTTCCTGCATAAGAGGTGTCCCATGGTCATTGTGCTGCACTTTACAGTCCTTGGGCATGATGGACACAGATGATTCTGGTTACCTGCTTCCCAAATTGAAGGAGCAGAGCAGGCAGCTGGGCCAGGGTTTGTGTGGGGACAGCACTGGTGTGGTTCTGCGCATTGACTGCTGGGCTGCCAGTCATGTCCCCTCCCGACACTGTGCACACATGGTCAGGTTTTCAAAATCTGAATGTCGTCAGAGGCATCTGAGTGCATGTGTCTTGACCCTGTTTCATGGGTGTTGTGTGGGCTGTGCCTGTCTTACCTGTGTCCTCCTTCACAGGGCTCGCTTGCGTGCATCTTCAGGGTGCACAGGACCCAGCCGTGGAGTTAGAGACTGAAGTGGCAACGACAGTCTTGGGTTTGGAAACTGAGCACAAGGTTAAACTCTCACTGTTTCAGAGGGAGCTCCAGGAAGAAATCAATCTTTTAAAAATAGAAAACCAAAATTTACACAAGAAGCTGCAGCAGGAAATCCGCCTGAAAGAGGACTTGGAGAAAGTGAGTTGTGAGTCCTTGTGGCAAGGCCACTTCCATTGTGACCTTGTGGGAGCGGGTGGCCTGGGCTGAGAGGGTGGGTAGGATGTGCATGGCGAGGAGTGGGTTTGGTCAGTGTCTCCCTAAGTGGAGTGAGCCTGCTTCCCAGCTGGGGACAGAGCTTTGCTTCCTGTTGCTCCTTCCACCTGCCTCCAGGGACTGGGGGAGCAACTGGGTGTCTTCAGAGGACACAGGAAGATGTTTGAGCCACCTGCAGGCCTTGTCCCAAACATCCATGCTCTTCCTCTTGTGGGCCAGGCAGCCGTGCAGTGCTCGTGGGACTCTGAGTAATGAGCTTGCTGCTGCACCACTGTGCACACTTGACAAACACATAAATGCAGACCCACTGAATTGATGGGCCTCGTTATGCAGCAGCACAGTTTTATTACTATGTGGGAATAATAGAAATAAGGTGACAGGAGTTTTTTTTTTTTTAATACAAGTATTTGTTTGTTTTTAGAGGGTAAAGGGAGGGAGAAAGAGGGAGCGTAACATCAATTGGTTGCCTTTTCCACACACCCCTACTGGGGACTCAACCAACCCACAGTGCAGGCATGTACCCTGACTGGGAATCGAACCAGCAACTTTTGGCCATGCAGGATGACACCCAGCCAAATGCACTATACTGCTCAGGGCTGGAACTTTTAAGGCTTTTCCACATGTGTTTTGACTTGACCATATTTCCTCCATTCAGTCATTCTGGCCTTCTGTTTTCAGCTCAGGTTCTTCTCTGTGAAGGCCTTTTTGGATGTCCATTCCCCAACAAAACAGTTTCACAGGAAGCTATTAGTACCTGCAAGTTTGATGGCATGCAGTTCTCTATATTAGGGCATTGATGAGGATGTGGAGCAAAATAAAGGCAAGAATAGAGCTTCGTGGAAGCCGAGCCGGCTACCATGTGGACCGTGGTATCAGACATGACCTTCTCAGGGACCCTACACTGAAGGACAGACTTTCCTCAAAGTCTTTTGATGTTTCCATATGTGCATATATGTAAATGTGTATGTATTTATTTTATGGACTATTCACTTGTATCATTTATTGAGAGAGGTGGTGTGGAATTACCTGTTTCTCCCTTTAATTCTGTCCAGTTTCGCTTTAAGTGATTTGAAGCTCTGTTATTACACACACATACAGTGGCTTCCTGAAAAATGTACCCATTTGTCATTAATGAAATATCCATTTTTCTCTTTTGGTCAAAACCTACTTTCACTTTTAATGATATTGTCATTCCAATCTCCCTTTGCATTTCATTTGCATGGTGTACCTTGTTTTGTCCATTTTACTTTTAATCTATTAAAAGAAACTACCCAAACTTAGCGTCCAACCCCACAGGTTAAGGGCTGAGTCCCACAAGACTACCCTTCCTCCAGAGGCTAGTCTCAGGTGTTGGGTCTCCAAGTACACACATTTCTGTCTGACTTGGCTACAAAGTCAGAATGTTCCCATCGCCCCTGCCCCACTTTAGGTTTAATAATTGCTGAAGCACCTCCCAGAACTCAGGGTAACAGTTACTTACTGTCACCAGTTTATGACAAAGGATTCAAACAAGAACAATCAGAAGAAGATGGTGCACAGGGCAAGATGGGGGTGGCACACAACTTTTGTGCTCCCGGGCCCCTCGGCCCAGCACCTATGTGCTCAGCAGCCCAGAGCCTCTCCTGACCTCTTTGTATAAGAGCTGTTATGGAGGTTCTCATACACAGGCATGATTGATTAAATTGCTGGCCTTGGGTAATAGAAATCAATTTCCAGCCGTTTTCTCTCCCTGGAGATCAGAGTAAGGCTAGAAGGTCCAGCCCTCTAATCACACCATGGTCTTTCTGGAGACCAGCCCTCATCCCGAAGCTGTGTAGGGCTCCCAGCCACCATTCTTCTCTTTGGCATAAAAGATCCTCTTAGCACTGCACAGATGCCAAGGGTTTTAGCAGCTGTGTCCGTGGTAGGGGATAAAGACCACATATTTATTCTGTACTATATTATACATATGGACAGCATAGAGTTGGGTATTTTTTAAAATCCATTCTGATGAACCCTACCTTTTTTTATTTTATTTTTTTTTTAAGATTTGATTTATTTTTTGGGAAGAAGGGAGGGAGAAAGGGAGAAAAACATCTATGTGCCATAGATATGTCGATAGGTTGCCCCTCACATTCCCCCAGCTGGCGACCCCACCCACAAACCAGGCATGTGTCCTGACTGGGAATCAAACCATCGACCTTTTGGTTCACAGGCCAGCACTCAGTCACTGAGTCATAGCAGCCAGGGCCAAATCCTACCTTTTAATTGGAGTGCGTAGTTTGTTACTTTTTCATGTTGTTACGATACGGTTGGACTGAGGTCTGCCATTTTACTATGAGTTTCTACAGGGTGCATCTGATTTTCTTTTGTCTGTTTTCTCCCTTCGCCTTTTGCATTTTTTGAATACTTTTTATAATTGATTTTAATGTGTCTGTTGATGTCTGAGTTGTCTCTTTGCATTATGTTTTTAATGCTTGGTCTAGGCAGGGGTTTCCAACCTTTTGGTGTCTCTGAGCCATACTGGAAAAGGAGTTGTATTGGGCCACACAATAAATACATTGTGACATGTAATCATACAAAAATCTCATAATGTTTTAAGTTAATTTACGACTTTGTTTTGGGCCACATTCACAGCGATCCTGGGCCGCGTGTGGCTAACAGGCTGTAGGTTGGATACTTCTGGTAGGGGTTAGAATAGACATTTGTAACCTCTCAGATGTCTCCGAGTTAACATTAGACTGTTTGACATACAGTATAAGAGCTTGTAATGTGTAGGTGCGTTTACTGTCTCCTCTGTGTCTTACATGCTATAATTTTCATATGTATTGAATCTACCTGTGTTTCTACCTGTGTTGTAAATTCTGCATTATGTTTTGCTTTGAACAGTCATAAGTACTTGAAAGAAATTAAGGATAAATAGTCTTACATTTACCATTTACAATGCTCTTCATTTCTCCCTGAAGATCTGAGGTAAAGCTAGTAGGATCCTTTCAGCCTGGAGAATTGCCGTTAGCATTTCTTGTTGTGCAGATCTTCACGTGTTTTTTCTTAGCTGAAAAGTCTTAATTTCATCTTCATTCTTGGAGATGATGCATATGGAAATCTGGGGTGACTGGTTTTTGTTCAGGACTTGAGGATGTTGTTCCTTGTGATCTTTGTCTGATGAGAAGTCAATCATTGTTCAAATCAGTATTTCCCTGAATGTCACATGTCATTTTCTTTTGACTCCTTCAAAGAGTTTTCTATTTGTTTCATTCCCATTTTAGTATGAATACCTCGGCTTGATTTTCTTTGACATTTTTTCTTTCATGACAATCTGAAAATTAATACATAAAATTAGCTGGGAATATTTGTGAAAAGGAATCAGGGATCTTAAAAAAAAGTTACCTTAAAAAAAGCCTTATTACCCAGTCAGGGCACATGCCTGGGTTGCAGGCCAGTCCCCGCTTGGGGACTGAACCGATCAGTGTTTCCATTGCACATCAACATTTCTCTCCCTTTCTCCCTTTGTGCCCCTTTCTCTAAAAAATAAATAAATAAAATAATTAAACGCTTATAGTAGATTGACCTCATATTTTCTTATTTAATGATGATATTGAAATGATGGTGTTTTAATTTTAATAACAGGCAATTCTGTACATTTCTGTCTTTTCCCAAGTTTGGGAAATTGTCATCAAGTATTTTCTTAAGTTCATTATTTCTGCCCCATTCTTTTCTTTCCTTTTAGAACTCTATTAACATGGATGCTATTTTTTTTTTGTTCCTGAGGGTTCTGTTCTTGTTATTTTTTCTAATCTTTTCCCCTTCTTGTTGGTTAAATTCTACTCATTTTCAAGTTAGTGACTTTCTTTTCTCATCTCTAATCTGCTTTTAAGTACATCTGTTGAATTTAAAATTTTAGATAGTGTATTTTTCAATTCTAGACTTTGCATTTTGTTGTTTTAATAGTTTGTTTTCTTTCCTATTCACTGTGAGCATATTTTCCTTTATGTTCATAAATACAGTGATGATAACTACTTTAAAACCTTTGCTGATTTCACCATTTGTGTTATCTCGTTGTTCTCCATTGATTGTATTTTCTCCTTAGCGTGGGTCATATTTTCTTTTTATTTTTTATACTAACTATTTTTGGACTGGATATCGGACATTGTGGAGACTCTGGATTCTGTTACGTCCCTCTGAAGAGGAATGATTTAAGTTTCAGTAGTCAGTTAACCTGGCTAGAGTCAGACTCCACACTCCCATCCTCTCTGTGCTGGGCTGAAGTGTACTGTTTAGTTCTTTTAGTCTTTGCAGGCCTGCCTTTGGAGTCTGCCCACACATGTGTGGATCAAGCATGAACCTGAGCTTAGGGTTTGGTTTATTCCAGATTTTGCAATTCCTCTTCTTTAGCTCTGTCCTAATGCAGTTTCCTCTCTCACCAGTCCCTCTGTTCAAACGAGTAGGATTATGGGATTCCCATGAGCACAGCGCAGACAGTAAATCACCTAGTGCCATTTCTTTTGGATACTCTCTAGGCCTTCAGGTAGTTTTTTGTATTTTATCCAGAGTTTAGAGTTGCCTCTGGGAAGGTTGGTCTGATTAGAACCTCTCAGCCATCACCAGAAACAGGGCTCTAAACTTTATTTTTAATAACCTTTAAATAAGGAGCTGAGATCAGTCTTACATACCTGTTTTGGTTTTGTTTAGTTTCTTTTTGGTTATATTCAGTAGTTTGTTGACCCACTTTCCCTTTTTTGAAAACCAGGATATTTGCCTACCTTTACCTTTTTGATCTATCTTCTGTTTCACAAGATACCTTTAACAATAGTAGTTTTAGCTCACCAGCCTCTTGCTCAGGTTTCTATATATCCTGGAATATGAATTGTGCAAGTCCAAAGACTTGAACTCATGACACTCTCTCCCTCTCCCTCAGACTTCTTGTCTCCTTGCTGGAAGTGGTTCCATGCTGTTGGGGCTCACTGGCCTTTTCCTAGACAGAAGACTCACGACGTGTCAGATTTTCCCCTACTGCTGGTCTTGGTGCAACAGAGAAGGCCTCCGTCCCGTCTGTGTGTTCAGTTCAGTTACTCCAGGCATAAAGAGCAGTCGGTTCCATGTGCTAGGATGTGGACACCTTTTACTTAAGCAAATAGTTTTAAGTTTGTTGGTTTTCGGTTCCTTCTATCCCCATCAACACAAGAAGCAGTCTTACTGCTCTGCCCAGCGAAATGCCTACATGTTATGGAATTTTGTCTTCAGAGGTGGATTTGGATTTTAGCTGCTAATAACCTTTTCCTTTAATTTCTTCCCTGTTAAATAAAATTGTTATCTACAGGTAAAACATAATTTAGTTGAAGATCACCAGGAAGAACTGAGGAAAGCTAAGGAGCAGATTCAACTAATGAAACAAGAACTTAAAGAAAGAGAAGCAGAGTGGAAAGGTACAAGTGAAGCCCTAAAGAGAGAAGCTGAAGAGAAGTTAACCCTGATGCTCCTTGACCTGAGGGAACAGGCTGAATTGGAGAAACAGTCAATAATAAACAAGTTTGAGCTCCGAGAAATTGAAATGAGGCAACTGCAGGATCAGCAGGCGGCCCAGATCCTGGACCTGGAGGGCTCCTTAAAGGAGCAGCAGGGCCGCCTGCAGCAGTTGGAACTTGACCTCACTGGGGACGAGTCTCTGCAGTGTGGCCAGGAGCCAAGCAGTGGTCTGGCTCCTGTGGACCAGAACCAGGAACTTGCTACACTTCATTTAAAGGAGGACCGTGCCCTTCAGCTGATGCTAGCCCAAAACAGGTGGGTGACATTTTTTAAGCAATTTGTTAGTATGGAGCTCTCTGCCAGGTTCCTACATGAGATCTGACCCAGGACACCTGGCAGAGGGTGGTAGGCAGATCTCTGAGAAGACATGCTATGGGCTCTCAGTGACGTCGTGTATCTTGGACACTCGGTCTTTACCCTAAAATGAGAACAGGACACAAGCTCTGAAACAAGATGTGCTGGCAGAAGCAACATCCAAATCCTTCTGGTGGAGTTTAATGTGTGTACTGTGTACACATCTTTCACGTCATCTTTGCTGTTTGTTTGCATGTTTTAAAATTTCAGTAGCATAACTCTAGACCTCATTTACTATAAGGACCTGCAGTTTATCCACATGAGCTTTCTGTGTTTTATAAACAGATGTTTTTTAAAAAATAAATATTTTTACTAAAATATATACAACTTGAGGTTTTAAATAGATTTAGAATGTGATTTGGTTCTTTGCCTCTGTTGGTCCTGATTCTTTCTGCACATCTGGCCTCTCATGGCTGGGGTTTCTGTGACTTTTGGGGTTAAAGGACATGCTGTTGGTTCTGCTTCTTGTGTGTCAGCTGCTCGCTAGCCTCACAATTGAGGTGCAAGAGCTTCTGCTCTGGACTTGAGTTTTATCCCAGTGCACTGCATGGGCATGACTCCTGAGTGCTCTCTCCCTGTGTGGTAAAGGTTAAATGGGCGTGCTCCATGGAAACACCTTTACAGAATCTGGTAGATAGGAGTGTAAAACCAGTCACAGTTTCTGTTGTTTCTGTGAACCCACCAAGCCACATCACTTATGTAACCTGCACTGGTAGAGGTTCCGGGCTCTTCCCAGTTTCTGTGGGGTTCTGGGCACTTGAATGAGAACGTGTCTTCTTGCCTCCTGTGGCTATTTTAATTCACATCCCTTAATTCACAACTGAAGAGTGTTTCTGAGGTCTTTGGAATGCTTTTTGTGCCCCTGTGGGCTTCTGTGAGCAGTTCCGCTGCCCCTTTCCTGTGGAGATTCTTCTCTCATGGGTAACAGTCATACCTTCTTCGCTGTAGTGCCTGTTGGGAGTATGCATGTGACTTCTTGCTGTGGGTCCTGTGTCCTCCACTTCAGGCTGTTCCAGGGACACCTGGGCTCTGGCCTCTGAATCCTCTGGCTTCACGTGGCCCCTTCACTTGGCTCGTGGTCGTGGTGGTGCTCTCAGGCCATTTGTGGCAGAGGGAGAAGGAGTAAGAGCAGTCAGACCCATGAATAACAACCTTGTTGATAGGAGTGTTTCCTACAGGAAATGTGAAGAGGTTGCTGCTTGTACAACTGCATGTTTTGCTGTCTGTTCACTTTGCATGTCACCTCAGATTTTTAGAACAACGTAAGGAAATCACAGAGAAATTCACTGCAGAACAAGATGCCCTCCTTCGGGAAGCCCAGGAGAAGCACGCCAATGAGCTCCAGCTCCTTCAGGAGAGACACCAGCAGCACATTCTGTCCCTAACAACAGAGCTTGAGGCCAAGCACCAGGCCAACATTGAGGAACTGAAGGCTGTGTTCCAGAGGGAGCAGTGTGCTCTTGCAGAAGCTCGTGTAGCTGAATTGCAGGCAAAACATGCTGCTGCAATCCATGCTCTGGAGACGAGGCATTTGTCACACCTGGATTCTGTGGAGTCCAGTTACCTGTCTGAAATTCAGACCCTCCGTGATGAGCACAAGCAGGCCCTGGAGCTGTTGCAAGCGGGCCTTAAGGAACAATTGCAGAAAAAGGACTCTTCCCATCAAGCGATTTTGACTCAGGAGTTAGAGAAACTTCAGCAGAAACACAGCGAAGAACTTGAATCTGCAAAGAGGAGCTGGAGAACTGAGCAAAGCACTGAACACAGTGAGGGTTTGAAGGCCCTGGCAGCCGAGCTTCGTGAGGCTCACCAGGTGAGGACCAGGCCTTTTCCCTGTCTCAGGACAAGTGTCCTCCATGATTCAGTGCACTCTTGTCTGTCCCTGAGTGTGTGTCTGCAGTGTTGTCAGTGTCTGTGCAAGCCCCTGCCAGCTCGTGTCTGCGTGTCTCACGCTGCCCCATCAGTGGTAACTTTGGTTTTCTTACAAGGTAGGTCTAGAGCAGTGAGGTTTTTAAAAAGTTTTTACTTATTGATTTGAAAGAGAAAGAGAGGAACACAGAGTTGTTCTTCCACTTACTTATGCATTCATTGGTTGATACTTCCATGTGCCCTGGCTGGGGATCCCACCTGCAACCTTGGCATATTGGGATGACACTCTAACCAGCTGAGGTACCCACGCAGGGCTAGAACAGTGTTGTAAGGGTTTCTTTGATCACATGATCATAGACTTCTTGGGAAGGCTTGGGCTCTCTGACCCTCGGGAAATGAGCATTTGATCTGTCCGGGTCAGAGTGCTCCTCTTCAGCTGCGCTGGCCCTCGCTGTGAGCCTGGAGTTTAAGGACCTCAGTAGCTTGGTTTTCCTGTTGCGCATATGTAGCCTCGGTTCTCCTTTGTGGGTGCTTCATGAAATGAAACTCTCTGTCATGTGTCAAGAGCAGTGAGTTTAAGTTTAGTATGAAAGGGAATTTCTGGAGAAGGCCCAGGTACCCTGGACTGGTGCCCACCTTTGTCACCTGCACACCTGCGGCACCTGTATCTCATGAATAGGACACTTGTATTTGGCCTAAAACTGTAATCACTGCGGGTTTTTATCTCTTCACAGTGGATGGGGCTGTTTTGTCCAGTTTGTGGGCCAAGTGGGCACGTCAGGTGCCTGGGGCAGACTGTGTCAGTGCTGCCCCATGCAGGGTGGGATGTGCGCCTTCGGTCCTAGAGTGTGTGAGGGTGCTGAGATGGGGCTTTTGGGGTGCAGTGCCCTGTGGACTTTCTTGGCAGGAGGAGTTGGCTGTAGCCCTGCGTAATCAGAGGCGCCTGCTGGAGGAGGAGAAGACCGTGGCCCTGGACAAGGTGCGTGCTGAGGTCCTGCTCCTGGAGCAGCAGCACCAAGCAGCCCTGCAGGAGCTTGGCGACATGCATGCAGCTGAGATGCAGAGGCAGCGGGCAGAGCAGCAGGTACTGCAAGAGAGGGCCATATAGTAAGCTGTTCTGAGTGTGCAGAGTGGCCCCTTCTTGGGCAGCAGAGGCTTCAGGGATCACTAGGGAGTGGACTCTGTCCCCCATGGGGTGCCAGACCTCTTGGGGCTTCTCATCAGACCATCCTGTTGCTTGTAGACATACAGAGAATTGGTGAAGCCTGTGGGCCTGGGTGCTGGGTGGGCCTTGGACCTGCAAAGAGGACCTGGGGCTTGTGTGAGGAGCCGGGCCACCGGTCCCCCCAACAATCTCTTCTGGGCACAGTGGTCCCTGCGCTGTGTGGCCCATGATGTACCTTAAAACCTCAGGGCCTGTTGTCTGGACTGAGGGCATGATTCCCCATAAACTCCTGCCACACATGCCCTCTGACCCTGTCTCCTGTCCTTTCCCTATTTTCATGGCCACATGCTGCCTTGCTGTTTCTGTGATATACCGGATGTCCTGTGCTCTGGACATGTCCTTGTCTCTTGCATGGAAACTTGTGCTCTCTCTTTTAATCAAGTCACCCTCTAAATGAGCCTTTCCCTGACTGATCGATGTGGCCCCTCACCCCTCTCTGGACCCCAAAACACTGTCTCCCAGCAGAGTGTGTGGTGTGGTGGCTGTGCTTGTCCTGGCTGTTCTCTCCTCTGTTCGTTGTTGTGACCCTGCGTCCAGAGCAGTGCCCAGGGGAGGCTTCCCTGGGAGCTTACCAAGAGGGCTTTGATGCAGGGGCCAGGCTGCTCTTCCAGCAAACCTGCTGCTGTGCAGTTGTTGCTGGGGTGCCAGTGGCCCGGCCACACCTTGTGAGGCTCTTGGGGGTCAGGGTAGGGATTGAGGATGCCAGGACTTGCCAGGTGCACTTGGAGGGTGATGTCCTTGAAGGGCAGAGCCCTGACCCTATCTGGCAGGCAGCAGCAAAGCATCTGTTCTGAAGGCCATTTGGTGGCTTGATGGAAGAGGGGTGGAGGCGACTTACTGATGTAGGTGAGAGTTGACCATGACTCTTGGGAAGCATAGGGATGGGAGAGCTAGAGGCCATGCTTGGGGGTTGGGGAGTCAGGGGTTTCCTGATGGCTCACAGGGTCTGTGGGAGCAAGGTTGACAGTGGCCCCTGGGGGGGGACATGGGGAAGCTGTGGCATCAGGGGGTGACAGGGTTGTAGCTGGGTCTAGACTTGGAGTAGGCAGCAGTGGCTGAGGTGGAGGTGCCCTCACTACAAGAAAGTGGAAGATGGTGCAGGGTGGGTAGCCTCGGTTGCATCAGAACTTGTGTCCACACAGAACACGTTTCCTATGGCAGGTGCTCTAAGGAATTGGACCAGACTGGTTCTTTTTCAGATCTTTGAATTTTGAACTTTGTATTTACTTGTAAATAAATAAATACACACATACACACGCATGCACACGAAGTATGTCAGGTTTTGACGCAGTCATTCTCATGATGACATCTAACAAAGCAAGTGGAAAGGAACTCTTGAACATGTGAGGCTGCCATGGAGGGGTTTGGAGTCTGGGGTCTGGCCAGGTCCTCGTGAACTGCTGTGAGGCTCATGTCCTCAGTTCCGTTTGCATATGTGCAGGATATTTGACCAGCAGGATACCTCCGGTGTGCACCCTGTCCCCAGCACAGTGTGCATGCACACAAAGGCCGACCCAGGTGCTCTGCATATCGTCCCCACAGGCTTTCGAAACTCCTGGAGTCCATCTGGGAATACTGGCTGGATACCACAGGGCTCTTCCCAGGATTTAGATTTGAGATACTTGTGTCCCCCAAAACCTTTGGTCTTCTTGGCATGAGAGAATAAGAATCTGTGTACATAGTACTTCACAAATACTTGGTGTTTTATGTGATGCGTATGTACAGATTTATCAAGGCTGTAAATTTTCACACTGGCCAGGTGGCACAGTTGATTGGAGTGTCACCCACATACCACAATTTTGCGGGTTCTGTTCCTGGTCAGGGCACATACCTAGGTTGTGGGTTCAGTCCCTGGTCAGGGCACGCACAGAAGGCAACCAATGGATGTTTCTCTCTCACATCCATGTTTCTCTCCATTTTTCTCTTTCTCCCCTCTCTCTAAAATCAGTATGCATATCCTCAGGTAAGGAAAAAAAAGAGGGGGGCGGTGCTGGCGTCTGGCTTCTAACCATACAACCAGGCCTTGGCATTCGCTTGCGTTTTCTGGGTTAAGAGCATTCTGAGTTGTGAGTACGTGTTGACTGATTTCTTTCTTTCTTTTTTTTAATGGGAAAATAGACGTTTTATTTATTTGTATTCAAGCTTATAAACCAATCAGCCACACTGGTATTATCATGATACAACGAAATACAAACCGTCTTTTAAAAGTACTTGATTAATAAATTGGGGGTTGTAGTAAAACAGCAAAAAAGGGCAGCAGAAATCAGTGAATTATATTGTAGCTTAACCATTCACCTAAACTGAGGTTTTTTAACAAGCCTCCCAATCCCAGAAAACACAAATAATCTTTTATCACACATCTTTGTACTTTTATTTTATATTCTTGAGGTTCAGATTCTACACACTAGAGTGATTCTAACTAGTATTATATTTAATTATCTGTAGCCAGAGACGTCTTATATGTCTACAGCAGCAAGGCTACAGAAACCTCTGATTAGACTCATTATACCTCACCCCTACCCCCTCCAAAGTGGCATAATAGACATAATGAGAAGCAGCATCTCAAGACAGAAATACATAGAAAAATCCTAGGAGGAAAAAAAAAATCCTAGGAGAGATACAGCCACTGCCTAAATTGAGATTGAGTAATATACCTGTTGTCACACTGGATGTTCATGGCTGTATGTTTGTGGAGTCAGGCCGCATGCTCATGGAGTAATCTGGGAATCAGTCCATGGTTTGCTAGATACTGTAATACACAGGGGTTTGCAATATTGCATCATAGGTTTTCCCAGCAGTTTCCAAGGGGGCCTCTAAATCACTAATGGGAGTTTGCTGGAACTGGATTTGGGGCTGCGGGGATTCCACTCCATAACCATACAACTGATTGTTCCAGGCCTGGTTGTTACAAGCCTGGTTATTCCAGCCTTGGGGGCATCAGGTCTGACTGTTGCAGGAATGGTAGTTCCAAGCTGGGCTGTTCCAGGAATGGTTGCTGCGAGATAGGTTACTGCAGATCTGGTTGCTCCACACTGAAAGGTTTCTAGAAGCATTCACCAGACATCCCTGGTGATGATAGGATGAGAGGCCCAGGTACTAATGTGGTTGCTGAGCTCATCTGAGTTACACGGTTGCTATTCTTTGGCCAGTTTTACTTCTGCCACCTCTTACATTTCATTCTCTGGTTCTGGAACCAGGTCTTAATCTGTTTGTAGCTAAGGTTCAGGATGTTGGAAAGTTCTTGCATCTGCTGGAGGCTGAGGTATTTCTGTCTCTGAAATCTCTCATTGAGTACACAGAGCTGGGTCTATGAGAAAACGCTTCTGATCTTATGTTTTTTGACCTGACCTTTTTCCTCCTTCACTATATTGTCCTCTGCAGAAGTGGGCAGCATTAAGTTGGAACTGGTGGAAGAGTCAGAGCTGTTCTGAATAAGCAGGTCCATGGAGGAAGGAAGAGGAGAGACATTCTCTGTGTGGAGTGTCTCAGCAGATGACATTTGCAAGGATGCACAGTTTTTTTCAGGCTCATAAATCTCAGGCACTGGTGAAGGTTCCCTAGAATTGGATGCTTCAGGGTAGGGCAGGCTTTGGGGAGTAGCAGAATCCACACTCATGTTGGTGAGTTGAAGGAGAGAAAACACACCTCAAGAGGTAAATGGTAAGATAGAAGAGCTTCAAGGAACACGAAGATCTCCAGGTGTAAAAGTGTCAAAAAGACAGGATGAAGTGAGTCACCTTTGCAGTAACTGGAGCCAGCCAGCCCAGTCTAGGAAAAAGCTGGACTGATTTCTTAAACTGTCTTCACTTGAACGTTCCCAGAATGAGAATTAGAAGAGATTATAAAAATTAAGGGGAGCCTAAAAATGAGATTTGTCCCTATTTGAGAAGTATGGGAGTAGGCATTTTTCTTGACATTTGCCCCTTGGACTCTAAGTTGCCCGGAATCAGACCACTTGGCAAGTGTCCCATGTTTGAAGGGCGGGGAGGACACAGGAGGGACCACACACACACACACAGAAAGCCATGCCCTCAAGGCAGATTAGAGAAGTACACGGGGAGGCCCCAGCTAAGAGCCAGAGCTCATGGGCCACTGATGGGTGGCATTGCCCGTCTTCTCTTCACAGTGTTCTCTTACCCAGATCACATTCAAAGAGGATGAATGCCCAGCCCTCCGCCCCCCACCCCTTCACCCCCACATCCCCTCAGCCTGCTCAGTCTTCCTGGTGTCCCCTCAGTGTCCCCTCTGCACTCTCAGTCTCCCCTTAGTGTCTCCAACCCCTTCAGTGTCCTCTCAGTGTCCCCTTAGCTCACTCAGTCTTCCTAGTGATCCTTAAGCATCCCATCTGTACTCTCAGTGCCCCCTTAGCCCGTTCAGGTCCCCTCAGAGTCCCTTCAGACCTCCCGGTGTCCCCTAGCACCTTGAGTTGCCATCCTGAGGGGCCATCACAGCGGGTCGGGGGGCCTCCGGGAAGCTGCTTCACTAAAGGGAGAAAGAGTGGAGGCTGTGAGATGGACAGGCCGTCAACCTGTCAGCACTTTCGTTGCGCAGTTGCACTGGTGAAAGGCACATGACAGTGGGGTGCTGGCAGCTTCCGTGAGCTCCTGTGTAAGGCGGGCACTCTTCCCCACCTGCCCGAGGGGCTGGAACCCACCTGTGTGGCCGGCCCTGCAGCCCCATTGCACGACCATGGTTTGCAGGTCCAGATCCAGGGACTGTGTCTGGGTGGGTTAGCACTTCGAATGTGGACAGCTGTCCCCCTCTCCTGAGGCACTGCTCTGAGACCTGCAGACATGCCGAAGGTGTCTCAGACTCTATCGTTTCCTTTTTCATGGTGCCCACTGGCCTGCCGCCCTCCT